AGTGCCCGGGGAAAAAAATACTGCAGAAGACACTGAAGTCCTCCAGAAAGGGGAAAGGTGGGGCAAAGGTGCATCTCTCTCAGAGAAGCAGGAGTCGGGAACGTCCTCACATGAACATGTCGTCATAGCCTGGAGGGGGCAGGTGATCCGGATCTGGCCTGCAACAAGGAAGGAAGAGAGAGAGGGAAGTCAGAATGCAACACCCCTCGGGAAAAAAATACTGCAGAAGACACTGAAGTCCTCCAGAAAGGGGAAAGGTGGGGCAAAGGTGCATCTCTCTCAGAGAAGCAGGAGTCGGGAACGTCCTCACATGAACATGTCGTCATAGCCTGGAGGGGGCAGGTGATCCGGATCTGGCCTGCAACAAGGAAGGAAGAGAGAGAGGGAAGTCAGAATGCAACACCCCTCCCTGGGCAACCCAGAGAGCCAAGAGAGTCGGGTGTAGATAGCAAACAACAGGAAAACTCCAGCCTGAAGCAACACACAGACGCACAGCTAGGTACCCACCCTGCAGGACCGCCCCTCCCGGGGCCAAACGGGTCGAATCTGGCACCTGGCGGAACAGCCCCAGGCGGAAGCCTGCTTGGGAGCCCGGAGGATGGGTTGAAAGGAGGCCTTCGAAATCCGGAGCGGAGCGGATCGGAGATCATACCGCCCCGGCGGCCCCTGGGAGGAAGAAGAGAGGCGAATGAGCGCAGGGTCTCAGCTAGCGCGAATTGGCAAGCAGGGTCTCCGGCTCCCGCCTACTCCGAGCGCGGATCCCTGCTCCCTGAGCAGCCAGGAAAACGGAGTCCGGTGTTGAATGGCAGTGCGGGACGAGGGGTGGGACTGCCCGGGTGCAGCGCAGCAGAGCAGGGACTGGGGGAGAGTCAGGCAGCGAGAACCAGCGTGGTTAGGTGTAATCCCAAGACCGGGGACGAGAGGCACAGCACAAGGGGGAGACTTCACACCTGCTCAGCTCCAAGGCCCTGTGGTCCGCGCTGGCCACACAAAGGGGCCGCAGGGTGAGTGGGAACCAGCCCCCGCCATCCAATGCCTGACATCACGGGTCTTACCGGGAAAGCTCCCAGCATGAGAACCCGTGTGCACTGGCGTGATGGGAAACAGGGCTTAGCGCTAGCTAAGGGCTGTCGTGGTTCCCATCGCGTCAGGGGCCCGAGTACTTCACCCCGGGGGCGGGGCACACTGCCCAGGGTGCTGAGTAGGGTCAGTTAACACCTGTTCTACCGCAATGCATGCTGGGAAATGACAAGCCCCTTCACTGCCCTGCCTTCCTGTCCCCAAAGCAGCCTGTTCAAGGCAGATGCATCCCTTGCAGCCCCGCTGGCCACCATGGGGAGTGGGGGGGTGTGGCGAGGTGGAGGGGGGGGGGTAAGAGACGAAGCCGGGATGGTCTTTGCTCTGCTCGCTTCCTTGTGTGGGATGGGATCTCTGCTGGCCTGCAACGGCCCCCTGGCTGTGCCTCAGTTTCCCTGGGCGCTGCACCCATCCCTAGATGGGGATGGGGATTTCGGGCGTGACTCATGGACGGAGGCTGCCTCAGCAGGTACCCATTGGCTGATGCCCTTGGTTGCCTGAGCCTGGGAGAAGGGTGCAACCCAGCGACACCTTCTGCAGGGGAAGCTGGACAAGGGAAGAGGCGAGGCCGGAACCAGCTGCCGAGCGTGTGAGTGAGTCTCGGCTGGCGTAAGATGCAGGTAGGGGGCCCAGGCTCGGGGCCCCCCTCTGCCCTGACTGCTTCTGGGGGCTGTGCCAGCCAGTCTGTCCTGCGCAGAGTCCCTGTCAACTAATAAACCTTCCGTTCTCCCTGCCAGCTGAGTCAGGACCCGGTGACTCCCCACATTTCTGTGATGGGGGGCTCAGCCACGAACTGGGGGAGGCTCAGCCGAGGGGCAGGTTCCACTTTCCTCCAGGTTCTCCAAGGAGTCAAGAGACGCTCCGTGAGCCACGCCAGCTGTGAGAATATTTGGGACGGCAGCGCGTCACCCCTCCCGCCCCTGCTGCCGCAGACCTGTGGAGCTTCAGGAATGGTCAGACACTTCCCCCCTCCCCCCCCCCGGCCTCGGTTTCCTTTGCTGAGTGATGGCTGTTCCTTACACTCATGTAGCTCCCTGCTCTTGGCTGCCTCTGATTAAATACAAATTGCAGAGTTATTGCCAAACAAACAAGCATCATTCTGGGCTGCATGAACAGGAGCGTTGTGAGCAAGACACGAGAAGTCATTCTTCCGCTCTACTCTGCGCTGGTTAGGCCTCAGTTGGAGTCTTGTGTCCAGTTCTGGGCACCGCATTTCAAGAAAGATGGGGAGAAATTGGAGAGGGTCCAGAGAAGAGCAAGAAAAGTGATCAAAAGTCTAGAAAACATGAGCTATGAGGGAAGAACTGGGCTTCTTTAGTTTCGGAAAAGAGAAGACGGAGAGGGGACATGAGAGCCGTTTTCAAGTATCTAAAAGGGTATTACAAGGAGGAGAGGGAAAAATTATTCTCCCTGGCCTCTGAGGACAGGACAAGAAGCAAGGGGCTTCAATTGCAGCAAGGGAGGTTTAGGTTGGACATTAGGAAAAACTTCCTGCCTGTCAGGGTGGTTAAACACTGGAATCAATTGCCCAGGGAGGTTGTGGAATCTCCATCCCTGGAGATATTTAAGAGCCAGTTGGATAGACACCTGTCAGGGATGATCCAGATCAGTGTTTCCCAATTTTATTTGGCCATGGAACCCCTAAGGTGGCCTAAAAATAAAAAAAGCCCCCGGCAATTTGTTGAGCAAAAAAAAAGTCCAAACACAAAAAAGCTCTGTCTCTTTAAGAGGCTGCGGGGGAGCACCCATTTGGAAACACTGATCTATATGGTGCTTGGTCCTGCCGGGAGGGCTGGGGACTGGACTCGATTCCTCTCGAGGGCCCTGCCAGTTCTAGGGTTTTATGAAATGCCCCATTTCCTGCCCCAAGGCCATGTCGCGGGAGTTCTCAGAACCCTTCTTTGGGCCCAGCCGCTTGGCACCTTTTCCAAAGCCGGGCCTGGAAGCCGCGTGCAAGCCCAGCTGTGTCAGCCTCTGTGCCTTGCACGGCACTGCCCTGGTAGTCCAGTGTGTGTGATCGCAGCTGGAACCTCGGGACGCTACCACAAGACAAGTAATTGGCCTCAGCTACAGCAGGCGCCTTCGTGGGCCACTCGCCCGTCAGGGGAAGCCCACAGGGAGGCCCCCTTCAGAGCCAGACGCTAAGTACACGTAAGAAAGAAATCGCTTTCGGAGACGGGAAGCGGGCTGGCAAGGGACCGGGCTGATCTCCCGCCGCTGGGCATGCAGGACTGATTTCCAGCCCCCTCTACTTCACACTCCTCTCTCCAGCCTCTACGGGAGGTTTCCCGAAGATCCCTTTCTAGCCAGCCCCTGCAGAACAAAGCCCTCGGAGGGGAAACGAACCTCAGCAGCCCGAGGCTCCAAATCGGGATGAGAACGACGAGCCGACTATGCGCTAAGCAAATGCTTCTCGGACAGTCGACACTAGACCACTAGCAGCTTCCCCTGCCATCGCCGCCTCCGTCAGAAAGAGGAGAAGGCGCTTTAACGTGGCAGTGCCGCACGGACCCCGGGCCAGACTCTGGGCCCTACCGCTTCGAATTGTCAGGGTGGTCAAATATTGGAATAAATTGCCAAGGGAGGTGGTGGAATCTCCCTCTCTGGAGATATTTAAGAACAGGTTAGATAGACATCTGTCAGGGATGGTGTAGACGGAGCTTGGTCCTGCCTTGAGGGCGGGGGGCTGGACTCGATGACCTCTCGAGGTCCCTTCCAGTCCTATTATTCTATGATTCTATGAATCGCTGTGAGGACCACGGGGCCGGCTCGAGTCCCCCGCTGGCCCCGTGTTCCCCGCGGTGCTCTCGCCTTTCAAGTGTAGCAAATTGCACCGACTATTCGATTAGCCGAGGAATCGAAATCGAACATCCCGAGCTCCGAATGGCAGGACTTCCCGGCCTCCCTAACGAGCTGGTTAGCCTGCCCACGGACTGGGCTGACTTTGGTTACACGGCTCTTTTCCTGGAATGGAAAGTGACGGCACCGTTCCCCCCTCCCCACTCCACAGGGCTGGAGGCCCAGGGCAGAAACACCCCTCCCCCCCCAGCTGCCCCATTCATCTCAACCTCACATCACATCGGGCAGCTCGCTCCTGTGTCGGAACAGCCCACAGATCCAACAGGGCTGGAGAGTACGGGGGCTAGAAAAAGCCACCGTGTCAATGGGAGGCTTAAATGCACTTGGCTGCGTCTTTACCTTTCATGCACTAGAGGAATTACCGCGTGTTCGACCGATCAGCTATGGGGGAGGCAGGGACTCAGAACAATTCGCCCCCCTTTTTCGTTTGGAACCAGCTGTTGGTCCCTGGCTCGTGACACACGCAAACTGGGTCAGTGACAGCAGCAGCAAGGCCGAGCCGAGGAATTTCGGTCGCTCCCCGCGCCGCCCTGAGAAGCTGACGGAGCAGATCTACATTTGGAGGCCAGGGTGTGAACTGACGAGGGGCCAGATCCTCTCCTGGTGATACTCACCCAAAGGGGTCCAGGTCCTCTCCACCCACAGCAAAGGGGCCCAGCGGATCAGGCCTGAAACACAAGGCACAATGAGAGGGCCGAGTTCACGGCGGCCGGTGGGTGCGGGGAAAGAGGGGCCGGCCGAAGGGGGCAGGAAGCACTGAGACCCCATGCAGATGCGCCCGTGCGGCCAGCGGAGCCTGCTGCTGGAGAGGAAGGGTGCGCCCAGGGGCGAGGCTCCGCTGCG